ATTTAGGTTGCAACTTAAATATTTAGGTAGCTGCCTAAATATTTAGGTAGCTAGCTTAATATTTAAGTTTCAAGCTAAACATTTAGCTCAAAACTAAATATTTAAGTCACAAGTTAAATATTTAGCTTGTTAACAGAATATTTAATGTGTAAGTTAAATATTTAGTTTATAAACTATGACATTTATAAATGTATGAATCATATGGTGAAAAACTGACTGTGAAAAATAAATCTGTTCTTTTTTTCTTATAAAAGGCTAAATAAAACAAAACTTTTGGTGGTAATTTTTGACTGTGTGACTTTACAAACGGCACCTCATATGAGTGAATAGTTACAAACAATAACCTCTGAGAAGGCAAGGTAATGGGCCTCCTGTGCTGTAACCCCCACACACACACACACATACATGTGAACTTGTACAGATTGTCATAAATACAGATTTTCACCCATTTTGCAGGTATACGGACAATATAGAGAAATCTCAAGGATTTTAAAAAACTGAACAGATTTTTTTTTTCAAAAGCTCAGTTTGAAATTTATGGAACATGTCAGAGCTGTAAGCACTAAATCAAATTAAATAACATCTCCCGACCTGCTCTGCTGCTCTGCAGCAATGGTGTTGTGCCACAAAATCACTGAATTTCTGTCAGTTCATGTCATCGCATTGTTTCTTTTAGCGAGTAGGAGGAAGGGGTGGGCAGTGTCGCACCACTCCCCTACCAACACACACACACACACACACACACGCCCCTGAGCTTTTCTATCATATGAGAGGACTACAGATTTTTTGTGAAAATGACAGACTTCTGACAGTGTACTAGTACACATGTACGCCCCCAGTAACCACTGTCTTAAACTACTAATTATTGTGTCTCATTGGCCAATCATGTTTATATTTTTATACCAAGGAGATACATGTTTCTTCCATAAGCGCACAAAAATCCACAAATTAAAAACTCCTTTTACGTTCACAATTTCCTCCCTCTTCACCTGTGAAAAGATAATATTATAGCTTAAATTAAAGTTGTGACTTCTGTTTTCCTCTTTATGCCTCTGGATGTTTCAGGTCTGCAGGAGATGAGTGTCGCATCGTCAGTAAGACAAATCTCGGTGTCGCTGGTACGTTTAAAGTGCCGTCCTACTTTCATACTGGTGTTCAGATTTTAAAAACATCACATTCCTCCAGATCTGTATTCCCTTTTGTGATTTTGTGCTTTTTTAAATTGTACAAAACTGTTGTTAAATCTTGTGAACCATTAAGCAGTAATCACTACTAAATACAAGTGGTCTAAAGGAAGAAAAAAAAACACTGTGCAAGAGCTGTGCTGAAAATGTGCGTTTAGCTGCTACATAAACTGAAATCTATGCAGCTGGTCTTACGTAGCATGTCCCCTTGGAAATGAATCTCTGGAAGAACTAAATGCTGTATTTAAGCAGAGGACATAAACTAACACTGTGTTGTGATTTTTCCTCTTTTTTTTCCTCCCATGATTTCTTTTTCAGCCCAACATACTGCAATGGCACTTATATAAATTTAAAAATGTTGTTTTTTTTCCCTTATTGACATTTATAACACAACAACAATGCTTTATAAGGAAATATTTGAATTCAAAACAAAAGCGTAGAGTAAGAAACCGTAGGATCCTCTGTTGTTTAGATGATTGAATCTTGTCCAGGATTCATATTTGTTTGTTCAAGGCTCTCCTCCTGAAGGCACTTAATAAAAACAATGATAAGAAAATGCACAAACATTTAAAAAAGTCYGTTTTTTCCCTCCTAACTCTGTCATCGTGATAAACTGCTGTGCTCAACACAGGTCTAACCCACCCCAGCACTCGGGCAACACTCCCACCAAAGATGTCAGCGGCCACCAAATCCACGTTTTTTTTGTTGGTTATTCTTCTTGCGTCAAAGACATTTTGCCTAAAAGAAGGGATCTCCAGCCCACATCTGTAATTGGTTCTAGAGAGGCAGCAGCTCGGGGAAAGAACGGCAGTAGAAAATGTAGGAAGAGGAGATTAGTGATCAGAGGCGAGAATAAAACTCCTCATTGAGTCTTGTAAGCTCACTGGCCTCCTCCTCCTCCTCCTCCTCGTCCTCATGAAGTGTGAGAGGAGTGGGGTGCACTTGAGAGGACGCTCGTGGAGCACTGACATCTGGCTCAGAACGGGTGTGAAGATCTGCGTCAGAGGATCGCCCTGTTTGGTGCACAACGTCCCTGTATCCTTCTTCCCTCGCCGCTGCGTGTTGAACTGGGGCGGTCTCAGGCCCTGCTCCTGGAGGCCTTACAGTGCCATGGGGTTGAGGACCGGAAGGTGAGGCAGGATGACCACCTGCCTGAGCAACAGAAACTGMAGTCTTGTAGGCAGGTGATGGCATAGCTCGAACTGCCAGCTCTGTTCGATCCTGACACGCACTTTCCCCACTGTGGGGGTAGAGATAGGTCCTCATTTGGCCTTTGCCTTTAACGTTGACTGTGCCTCTGTAGTCAAACTCTAGCCCCATGGCACTGAGCACCGCATGGCTTCCCTCACTCACTTGCACCCGGCACTCCACACCAGTTGAATCCATGCGACTGGCGATATTCACCGTGTCACCCCAGATATCGTAAAACAGCTTCGTTGTGCCGATCACCCCCGCTGTCAGGGGACCGTGGTTAAATCCAATGCGGAGCTTGAAACCGAAGCCCAGCATGTTCTTGTTGAAATCGTCCAGGACGCCCATCATCTCCAGGGCGAAGTTGAAAAGCGCCCTCAGGTGAGCGTGCGGAGAATCGTCGTCGCCCTCGGCAATCTGCTGCACGTTCAGACCCGACGCTGCCATGTAGGTGGAACCGATCGTTTTAATCTTTTCCACGCTTCGAAATTCAGGCTTCCGAAGGAGTTCATCAAAGTCCCCGATCAGCTCATTCAGGACACGATAGCACTCTTTTCCTCCCTCGTAGGTCTCTTCGTAGAACTCGCTGAAGTTAACAATGCTGGCAAAGATCACGCCCACATTGTCGTGGTTCTTAGAGTAGCTTTGGGTCTCCTGGTAAAACGGAGGAAAAACATCATTACAGTCCAGTCAATCAACACAAAGAGGATTTCTAAAGTTAACATTTGAAAATATATCCCCAAAATTGAATGAAATCTAGTGCAGAGATTCTTAACCCATGGGCCGCGAGCGCCACCTTGAGGGCCTCAAAAAACAACAGTTTTTAACTTTGGGCCGCAGAGGGCCGCGGGACCATTTTTAATAAGGTGCAATACACTTTCTCACCACTAGTAGCAGTAGTGCACCACTGAGATGTTTAACAACTTTTTAATATGTAGAAGAAGAACCTTAGAAACCTGCCGAGAATGGAAACTTATTTTAAATGAAAAGTAGAAGCAAAAATGAAAGTAACTCATCAAAAACACAAAAAGTTTGTCACTAATATGAAGAGCAGCTTCTGGTTCTACCACGTAATATTTTAAAAGATCAAAACATTATCAAATACAGTTGC